TTGATTAGCCAATGGCGGCAGACCATTTTTAGTGGAGTATGAGCAGAGTTGGAAAATATTGCATCCACTTACACCAACATGTGAGAAGGTTTCCAATAGAAAATCATTGTTATATAATCTAACTTTACATCTGACCTTTTGGATAAAAGACTTTGTAGAGAGGAGTGTTTAATTTATGAAGTCAAGCACAATTAAGAGGCTCCCATTTTTCAGCCTGTTTTCCATTTCATCAACTGTTGATTCTTCCGTTGTTGATTGGATGGATTGTTCATTACATTCTGTTAATGGCTAAAAGGCAAACAGATTTTTGAAACCATTTTCCTGGTAAAAGGAAATTCTTGCAATAAAACGAGTGCCCGAAGAAAAGATGGAATGATGTAATCATGACCTCTCCATAGTATCATACTACACCAACAACCGTATGTGAAGGAAAAACAGAAGGGACCCTTGCTTAAGGGAAGTAATGAACATAGGTAATCTGACGCCAGCAAGCCATGCATTATAGAGCTGTATACGTTTGCTGTATGAACGCGGGAATTACATTTGATACAAATGATCTGCTCTCATCATCTGTATTCATACATACAGTATGAACTGAGAGACAAAATACAACAGTATTGAGTGTGTTATGGTGCTAAAATGACAAGGAAAACCAGAAACTTGGTTAAATTGTCACGGTGATGGAGGTTGAACAACGTTGTAAGACATACAGATGCAAACTTCTGAAATAAACCAGACCTAGGGAGATTGTCCGCAAGGAAGGTTTGCATCAGTGCGATGTCCCACTTTCACTTTGCAAGACTTACCGAGTTGGGTATTGAACTACTGACACAAGTGTTTCGAATCTGTGACAGTATCTAAGTTCTTTGCAAGACATTTTTATGTTTATGTTGATTCATATTGTTTTTGTTCATTAATCATCCATTACAATCTGGACTTGACAAAGCAATCTGTAATTAATTAACAAGCCCCTTAGAACTCAACAGGTTGTGTATCACAAGACTAAAATCAATGATAAACTGCTTCTAAAGCTATTGGTTTTCATGGAATAGGTGGTCGCTTAGATTTTCAGGCTTGGGTGAAAACAGAGTGTAACTTAATCCATGCATATTTCATAGCAACATCATCTTTACGGCCACAATCCCTCCACCGGGAAATTCTCTTTGGTACTCGCCTCTTGGATGATCATTTGCTACTTTCGTTCAAATAGAGTTGGTGTTTGTCGCAGAATGGTGATGACGGATGAGTAGTCCTCTTTAGTTTTTTGGTAGCACCAGAGAAGAAAGTACAAACAAGGCAAAAAGATCCCATAACCAACAACAAAAAGTAACAGAACTAGGATATCAACAACAGCCATGATGTAATTAGTTCTAAAAGCTGATTTCCTAGCAACACTGAATCCATTTGGATCATAATTGTGAAAAGAACTAAATGCAACAAAATAATGTATGATCTAACATGATCTCCAAACAACTAGCTCTAATTACCCACTAAATCCATATTTCACCTGTAGGACCATCTCCAATCTTCACCCTCAGTATCATCGTCACTATTACCATTACGAAAATGATTAGCATCATCATAGTAACCATCATAAATGTCATCTTCATAAAACAGGTGTCCATCTTCCACGAATCTATTGCACCTCACATCCCCAACTTCTGAAGACTTGTTACTAGTATGATCACTTCCCTCTTCTGATTGATCAGAGGCTCTACTCTTCGCATCCTCATCCTCTCCCTCTTCCTCTTCAGATATTTCATCAGGATAATCATTTCTTGGATTATCTTCAGCTACAAACCACAAAAGAGAACAAACAAGTCATACAAGGGCATTCTAAAATTGGTGACAAAAAAGTAGATTGTAAGATTACCATTCGAATCTTCACTATCATATTCTGACTCATATGGCACGTCATAGAAATCCTCATCATCCACCTGTACCCTGAAACAAGATTATGCATCAGTTTCAATAAGACAGAGAGAGAGAAAGAGAGAGAGAGAGAGGGGTGAAGAAAATAGATTATGTAATTCTTACAGTGGGAATGGATTTGAAGCTGTGTCCTCATCTACGTCCATGTCATCCTTCACAGTGTAGTAGTCATACACATATTCATCTGCATATCAAGTACAAAAGAAAATAACATGTCACAGTCCTCAAGAACATAAACCAACATTAAGCCTCCTCTGATGTACTAAAAAGGGCTCAAATAATGCCAATTCTATAGTAGAACAACATTGCAGCGGAAAGGTAGTGAAATCGGCTTCGCCAAAACCATATTAGAATTTATTCCATTATGAAAGATCAAAAGGACTCAAAAGCCAAACACGATAGCAGCTGAAAGGCCATAAAACATTGCAGTATATAGTAGTTCTTCATAAAACAAATTTACAATTCACAACCTTTTTCAAACATGTAAGCTCGTATATCAGATTCAATTTCAGCAGCAGCTGTAGGAATACACTCTCTCAATAGAGGCAAATAACTAGATAAAAGCTTGCAATCATCCAAGGATATCTCTCTGCAGTAAAATCAAGGAGATTTGATCAATTTTTGGCAATGAGTCTTTAACTTATACGTAAATAAATTTTAAAACATGCTTACTCCTCAGCTTGCATGCTATTGGAGCTTTCCTCAACATCAACACGAAAAACATCATAGAAATGGTACATATCATCTACTGCTTCTTTTTTACCCTTCCTGCTCCGCCATAATTGTTCAAAACGAGCATTTTTTGCAATTTCCTAAAAAAAAAAAAACACTGCCGTGAAACTATGTAAATATGAAACTAGAAGGCAAAAAGGAAACAGAATTAACCACTAGAATGCTAGTTTGGGTACATTAGATCCGCTTTTCCTATTTCCTTCTTAGATCACATAATAGCATGTCGTGTAAACATTTGGCCTTGCTTAAAACAAATCTAAGAGCCAAACAGTCAGAACAAAAAGTGAAGGATGAAAGCCATAAGATGAACACTTCAGAAGCAATTCCCAAAGATCCATGATAGAAAACAAAAAGGATACGAATAATCAACAAATACGACTCTCTTTTCAAGAAGAATAAGGATATTATTGCCGATATATAAACAGGAAGTGCCAAAGCATCTGACAGTAAACTACCTCTTGCTTTCGGATGGATTTAGATAGCTGCTCTTGTCGCTGCAGACATCAAAATCAAAAAGCCAAAGCATTAGGATACAGATCAACCACCTCCGCATCCAAGAAGCAAGCATGATTGCATTGCTTGGGGAGACAGGGAATAGAGAAAGGGAGAGATTACATTATCTGTTTTATGAGGGTGCCTTCCTTTCTGACTCTTTGCATTACCGGTAGTAGCATCCCAAGAACTGGGCTGTCAAAGAAACACACAACATAAACTTTTTGACATGTGTTGTAAAGCCGGACATGACAAGAAACTAACAAACGAGTTGACATGAGAATGGCCAACTGGCTAAACAAAGATATGCTCAAGAAGTGCGCTCTAGCATAACCGAAGGAAAAAGATACCAACATATTGATTGCTGCACCCACCATAAAAGATTGCACAATATCAACTGTGGCCTCAGAGCTTATAACCGTATTGACATGCCGCACAAATAGTTTCTTACTCTTCAACTCCTCTGATACAGAACAATACCATTGCGTCAATTCTAGAACTTCTAACTACGGAGCATGCAAAGAAAGAACGACCCTTGACTTCATTTCAAAGAAACTACAATCCCATATCTAAATTTCAACAGGAAGAAGCAAAAAAAAAAGGAACCTTTTTGGGACGATTCAGATATGGATAGCTTCTGAAAATCAGAAAAGGGCGCTTCAAAGGTCTCTCATTGATTTCCAGCCCTGCAACAAACAAACATCCCCTAAATTTTCAAAATTGCCCGGTTTAAAAATCCCTTCTTTATACTTTATAGTTTATGCAGGCAACAAAAGATGACAAAAAAGGAGAGAATGAAAAGAAACAACTGACAGAAAGCATCGAGACGTGACTGAGAGACTTTGCGTTTAACCCTGACAATCACAGGCTTATCGTCGTCGATTGGAGCGTCGCTGAAGAGTTTTCACCGTTGCTTGCCATGAACTTCGATTCAATTTTGATGGCTGTTTTGCTTGCCCTGAGGTTAGGGTTTAAGCTTCTTCAAGGGGAAGCGGGACTGTTGGGCTGTTCATGTCCTCTTTTTCTTCTGCAGATTTGGGTGGACTAAGCTTATATAGGTAGGGGGTTTGGTCCGGATTTCTTTTAAAAAATAAGAATTTAAGCGTGCTAAAATGCGCCGCAAGCTTACACTAGTTTGCTTACGTGTACTCCAGGCTAGCTTCAAAAATTGGGTTTATGCTTTCTCATGGCTGAGTTTTGGAACCCTTCTTCATTCTCTTGCAGATAAAGTTGGTGATATAGCAGAGCATGCAGCAGAGGGGGCACTGGTTTACTGCTGCTGCAACAACTTTGATGGTGTGGTCAGTCAGAGAATGTGGCAGCAGCCATGGCCAGACCCAGGATTAATTGAGAAAAGCCATGGGTTAGCTAAACATTTCAACAACCCTGGCTGCCGCAAACACCAAAGATCAGGTCTCAACCAAATTCAGTGCCACAAAATGGAAGCAACAATGAAAGCA